TACAAGCCTTTTAGGTGGTGCCACCCAAACCCAGGGCAGGGCTTCTGTCTTCAGTAAATCCATTCAGTCACACCCAGAACTATATTAATTCCAATTAGTGGACTAATTTAGTACCACACCCTTAATCCCTTATCACCCCTTTAATGCACAGTCACACACCCTAATCCAGCCACCTTTGAAACTCCTATCTATGACCACATGAGGCTTGGAAGGAGATCTAAATACAAGTCATAACACCTTCCTATTTGAATAAGATCTATCTCTGTTTCCTTTTATCTATCTTTCTTTTTGCTCTTTAATTTTTATATTTTTGTTTCTCAAATAAAGGAACCCATGTGGCATTTAAGCTTGTGTGTCTACTTTACTTAACATTATGGTCTCAAGGCGCATCTATTTTCCTACAAATAACTCAAATTTATCTTTCTTTGTAGCAGAGTAGAACTCCATTGTATATAAATACATTTTCTTTATCCATTCATCTGTTAATGTACTTATAGGCTGCTTCCAAGATTTAGCTATTGTGAGGTGTGCTACTACAAACATGGGTATGCAAGGGTCGCTGTAATATGATGCCTTTAACTCTTTTGGGAAGATACCAGGAAGGGAAATAGTTGGGTCAAATGGAATCCTTTTTAAGGAATCTCCATACTGATTTCCACGGTGGTTGTACTGTTTTTACATTCCCAGCAGCAAAATAGTAGGACTCCTTTCCCCGCAGCCTTACCAGCATTTGTTCTTACTTGAATTCTTAATAGTAGCTATTCTTTCCATAATAAAATAGGATCCCGATCTTTTTTTTAAATTTGCATTTCCCTAATGGTCAACAAGGTTGAGCACTTTTTCATATATTTATTGGCCATTTGTACTTCTTCTAAGAAATATCTATTCACTTCAGTTACCTATCTTTCTGATTGAGACTTTTGTTTGGGGGATCTAATTTTTTTGAGTTCTTTATGTATTTTAGATATTAGTCCTCTGTTCAAGGCGTAGCTGGCAAATCTTTTGCCCAATATATAGGTTTTCTTCCCACTCAGTTAGTTGTTTCTTTTGTTATGCAAAGGCTTTTTAATTTAATACAATCTCATTTGTTGAGCTTTAGTGTTATTTCTCAATCAATTGGGATCCTCTTCAGACAGTCCTTGCATACTACCTGTGACTTCAAGAATTTTATCTGTTTTATCTCCTAGCAGGCTAAATGTTTCTGTCTTAACATTTCGATCTTGGATCCATTTTTAGTTTAGTACATGCTGAGAGATATAGGTCTAGATTCAGTCTGCAGGTGGAGAGCCAGTTTTCCCAGCACCACTGGCTTAAAAGGCTACCTTTCTTCCAGTGTATGTTTTTGGCCCCCTTGCCAAAGATCAGATGGCTGAATGTGCCTGGAGCTGTTTCTGCATCCTCTGTTCTGTTCCATTGGTCCACATGTCTGTTTTTTTACCAGTACCATGCTGGTTTTTACCACTGTAGCAGTATAACATAACTTGCTGTTCAGCTGTGATGCTTCCTGCTTTGCTTGTGTTGCTTACGGTTGCTTTTGCTATTCTGGATCTCTTCTGATTCTATACAAAGTATAGGATTATTTTCTCTATTTTCCCTGGTTCTATAGGAGTGCTATTGGTATTTCATTTGGATTTGCATTAAATATGTGAATCAGTTTTGGGAGTATGGCCATTTTCACAGTGTTGGTTAATGTCTATCCAGGAATGGGCCATCTTTCCATTTACCCAAGTCTTCTTCAATCTGCATTTTTTGGAATACTGTAATTTCGATTGCACAGATCTTTCACTTCTTTTTCTAGGTTGATTCCTAAGTATTTTATTTTTCTTGATACTACTGCAAATGGTATTGTTTTTGCAAATTTCTTTCTCCACGTGTTCATTATAAGTGTACAAGAATGCTATTGATTTTTGTGTGTTGATTTTATACCCTGATACATCGTTGAATTAGTTATCAGTTCTCAGAATCTTTTGGTGTACATTTTGGATCTTCTAGGTAAAGGATCATGTCATCTGCAAATAATGATAATTTGAATTCTCTGTTTCCTGTAAATATTTATTTTATTTCTTTCTCTTGCCTGATTTCATAACGAACAGGAGTGGAGAGCACCTACTTTTGTTGAACGTCAATAATGTGCTTGGTTTCAGATACATCTTCTTATTTAGCCATCATAACAATGAATCCAAATTTCTATTATATTTTCATTCTAAGTATAGGAAAAATGAGATGCAGAGAGGTTAAGGGACCTGCAGAAGATCAGTGATGGAGCAACCTACAAACAAAGTTGTTCTTCTTAACTTCCATGCTGTATATCCCAAGTGTTTATGAATATATACAATTATCATCAGAAAGCTGCTTCAAAAAAATGCAAATAGACTGAAAATGATAGTTTATTCCCAATGTAAACATAGAACTTATCACATGTCTAGTGTAAAATTACAATGTGCCAAAATCCCAAAACAACTAGGAAAATCATCAATAAATAAAATCCCGTTGGTGACATCTAAAAAAATTTTAGACTCCAGTATGTCTCAGGCTTCTCAAAAATTCATTAAAAATGGTGGGAAGAGCTGCATTAATTGAAGCTATGTGAATACACTGGATTCTGATATGATGAAAATTGATTATGCTCAAAGTAGTCTTCTGTAATTAAACAGAAACTGTGCTGTGCACTTTAATTAGTCAGCAGTAACTTGTTTTAAGTGCAAACAGTAAGTCTTGGTGTATTTCAGTAAACGAGAGCCCAGCAGCCCCACCTCAGCTGTAGTTGTGTTTCCTACCACAGCTGTCTGTGCATCTACTGCTCTAATGAAACTGCAGAAAGGAGAAACCACCCCTTGCAACACAGATGTAGACATTATTAAACCATCCTCATTCTTTCATTCAGAAACTTGTGGTACACTGTAAATTTCAAAGACTCTCACTAGGGGAATGAATCTGCCTTCAGTCATTGGCCTCTTATATTACACAAAGGGTGCTAAGGAAAGTCAGTAAACATTGCGAAATTTACTGGTAGATTTTTCTTCATTTCTAATGCAGATGAGTTTAACCTACACCTTTGAAAACCTATTAAACAAAATGAGTCCTCTGAAATTTTCTCCAAACTCCTTAGTATCTAATAATATTCAGGTTTTGTGGTGTTGAAAACAATGGAAGATAATTTAATATTTTGTCATTTTAATCTTATTGTTTAATTATAAAAACAAAGCATCTTCATCACAGAAAATTCATAAAATACAAGAAGTATTGAGGAACATGAAAAACATCACCAATCTTCACTCAAAGACAGATCACCGTTAACATGGTAGCAGATGTCCTCCTTTGATCTACTCATTGTTTTTGTATATTTGAGAAAATTCTGTTTGCATAATATTCTGCCAGAATGATATGCTTCAAAAGAAATATTACATTTTATTCCTAACCTTTGCCAGGATTCCCAGGGGGCATTCCCTGTGCTTACAGCGTCTCAGACACAGATTGTCAAGCTGCCTGCTGCCATGAGCTTTTATGGAGGGGATGTCTCTGCCAAAAGACAGAACCCATTTCTGTGGCTGGGTGAATATTCTGGACTTAGTAAGGGAGGAGACCCACTAGTTATTTAGTAGCTTGGGATTAATCAAATAGGGCTCACCTTTATGCTCCACCAGGGGAGTTCAAAGGGGAGGGTTAACTCAAAGTCAGGTTCATGATGCGTCAACAAGTCACAGGACCCAGAATTATAGAACTTGAGATTTGCTGGTAAAGAGTGTAAATCTCAGCTTCAGACTCAGGTATTAAGGAATACCCATTTGTGTGTGGTGTGTGTGTGTGTGTGTGTGTGTGTGTGTGTCTTTTTGTTGTTTTGGGGGGGTAATTTGTTTTGTTTTGTTTTGTTTAGAGAAAATAAAATGGTAGCGGCTATCTTACAGGTAACTAAGTCTGTGGTATAAAATCCAAAAGGGTTATGTAGTGCCAGAAAACAAGGACGAGTCTCTACCCTCTTGGCTGTCATGGTGACTGACTGCCATCCAAGCCCAAAGTGGTTCCTCAAAATGCAGGTTCTACTTCTCTGCTATGTGAGGACAGTGTGCAAGCCAGCCCTCCAGGGACTCCCTCAGTCATCCTCTGAGGTCAGGCCAGTGTACCCAGGAAATACCTAAAAGCTGATCCCCAGGCTCCTGCTAATCAGAACTCACCACCCACCAGCTCTCTCTCCACCTCTGGGGGTCAGGCTCTGTGAATCCTGGTTTTGAGCCATAACCTCCAGGCTCAATATTCATTTACAGTCGTGCTTGGCTCAGAGTAAGATCGGCCTACCCTTATTCATAGCCAGCTGCATTCCCACGTCAGTGCCCAACCAATCCCAAAGCGCTTGTTCTAATTCTTCATAATCTAAGAGTTCTGGAGCATTCCTCCCAGAAAGTGTGTTCAGTGCCCTCACTTGAATCTGTTCATACATGCAGAAGTCTCCAGTTTACAATAGTACAACTTACAATTTCTCATCTTCACAATGGTCCTACGAAAGTGATGCACATACAGTAGAAATCCTGCTTTGATGATGATGAGCTAGAACACTCACAAAGCTGGGCACCAAGCCACAGCTCCACAGGACCAAAAAGGTAAGCAAATGATAGTTCACAGGGTACTGTGCTGCTATGCTGTGATGTTTGGTAGACTCAATGTATTAAAGTGTCTTCTACTTAGGATAGTTTCAACTTACGCTAAGTTTATCAGGACGTAACTCTATTTTAAGTCAAGGAGCATCCGAAGTAGCCTTGTAGATGAACTCAGTATTCATGATGCTGGCCCCTCAGGTGGTAGTTACCTTCCTGCTGCAGAAAGTCACAACTGATCCACTTCAAGACTTTGGCCACTCCAGAAGATCTTTGGCTCTAACCAGCATAAATCCTTCCTCTTCAAAACTCGTTTGGACCTATTGAAAAAACACTGTTTCTCTGGGACTAAACCAGATAATAGAACATGTTCCTAAATCCATCTGTCTCCATTTTTTTTCTGTCTCCTAGTCAGACACAGAGTTTTGGGATAAGATGCAAGCAGAATGGGAAGAAATGGCCCGAAGAAACTGGATCTCTGAGAACCAGGAAGCCCAGAACCAAGTTACAATCTCAGCTAGCGAGAAGGTAACTAATACTGTTTTTACATATGCTAACCTCAGGCTCTGTGGCTCACATTTTATACATGAGTCAAAACTTTGTCAAGAATCTAAGAATTAAAGACAATTTACTGTCGGTCTGACCTAGGAGAAATTATAATAGATGGAAGCAAGATAATCATCCAGTGTGTAAAGGCAGCCAAGCTGGCTGGCAGCCACCTAGAACTTGGCTGCAGGTTGTGGAACTAACACTCAGGTGGGCTGGCCAAAAACTAGACAAAGCCCACAAATGCTTTGTCAGCCAATCTCTGTAGTCCAGCTGAGATGTCAGCAACAGACGTGAGACAAATGACAAGGGCGCGAACCAGGGCTCGGGGCAGTGTTTCACACTTCGGTCATTACACATGAGCAAAGAATCTCGGTGGAAAACGTGTGCTTCACACAACCAGGTTAGATCCCCAGGTGATCCCTCAGAGATGCTCCCCTGGGAGCAGCCCTAGCAATGTACAAGTGCAGGAACCAAACAGCTGAATCACCCATGAAGGCCCAGGTGCTCTAGGATTAATGTCTTTAATGATCCTTCATTTGGAATGGAGGGACTAACTTGAAAGGTAGGAAAGAGATAAGAATTTTTTTTTTACACAGAAAAAATGTGTTTGTGTTTATATTTGATATTTTTGTGGTGGAGTAAACTCTCAATTAGTGTTCAGTTCTGGATAACTTCCATGATATTTTGTTCAGTGCAGCAAATATTTATTGAACATCTGTCCTACACCAGGAATAGGAATATGAGTCTATGACTTTAGCAGATTTGTAATCTACAGTCATTAAAATGTCTTTTCCCTTCCAACATCTCTGTCCCTCACCAGAAAATCAGAACTATCTTATTAAAATTAGTTGTCTTTTGCACAAAGAAAACAAAGCATGGAAAGAAGAGAGAACTTTGCAGGTCACTGGACACAGCGTGGATTATAATCCAGGCACTGCAGGCCTGGCTGGGGCCCTTCGTCCCTCACTCCTGGGACACCATTTCCACAGTACCATGACAAAATCTCATCATAACCTGTAGCTTTTCTCTTTCTTTTCTTTTTTTAATTCCTTGTACCTGACCTTGGGCCATCAAGGAGGAGAGTCTTTCTTGCAGTCTCAGAACGGAATTGGTGCACATTAGGAATGTAGATTACTAAAGAGATTCATTTTGGTATCTTCATCCGTGCATATAACATATTCTAATTGTTTTCATCTCCATTAACCCCTTCTCTTTCTTCTCCCCTTTCCTTCATCACTTTCTCTACCTCTAAAAGTCTACCTTCTAGTTTCCTATCATCTTTCACTCATTTACTTAAGTATTTATTTTTAGCTTGCTCATATAAGAGGAAACATGAGGTGCTTAACTGTCTGAGTCTGGCTTATTCAACATAACAAGATGGTTTCCAGTTCCATTCACTTTCCTGCAAATGACATCCTTTTGTTCTTCTTTGTAGCTGTGTAATAGTCCATCGTGTAAATACACCAGATTTTCTTTTATTCATCAGTTGATGAACATACAGGCTGTTTACACAGCATAGTCATTGTGAGTTGTGTGGATATTAACATAGCTATGCATGATTCACTTTAGTATGATGTCTATAATTCTTGGTGGAGCATACCCAGGAGTGGTAGAGCTGAATCAAATTATATCTTAGGGGGATTTTTTGAGAAATTTCCATGCTGATTTCCATATTTCACATTCCTTGAGGATTCCTTTTCCCCCACGTCTTCACCAGCATTCATTGTTTTCTATATTTTTGATGATTGGAATTCTAACTGGGGTGAGATACAATCTCAGCATAATTTTGATTTGCCTTTCCTTAATGGCTAAAGATGTTAAACACTTTTTCACATGCTTATTGGCCATTTATACTTCTTTTGAAAATCCTCTGTTCAATACATTTGCCCATTTATTGATTGAGTTATTTGCTTTTTTGGTATTAAATTTCTAAATTCTTTATATATCCTAGATATTAGTCTTCTTCCAGAGGATTCTATAGCTTGTTCACTCTCTCATTTCCTTTGTTACAGAAGCTTTTTAATTTGATATAGTTACATTTGTTGATTTTTGTTATTTATTATTTCCCGTGCTATTGTGTTCTATTCAGGAAGTCTTTGCCTTTGCCCAAGGCTTCAAGTGTTTCTCCTATATATGTCCTAATCCATTTGGATTTGATTCTAGTACAGGGTGAAATGTAGAGATCCAGTTTCAATTTTCAGCATGTAGATATTTACATCCATTATTTGTTAAAGAGGCTGTGTTTTTTCCAGCATAGGTTTTTGGACCCTCTGTCAAAAATCAGATAGGTCTAGGTGCGTGGATTTATTTCTGTGCTTCTGTTTTATTCATTGGTCTAATATGTCTTTTTTTTTTTGTCAATTCCATGTTGCTTTTGTTACTATGCCTCTACAGTATAATTTAAAATCAAATATTATGATACCTTCAAAATTAATCTTTTTGCATAAGACTGCTTTTGCTATCCTGGGCCTTTTGTGTGTTCACATGTATTTTAGAATTGTTTCTTTTTCTAATTCTGCAAAGAACATTTTTGGTAATTTAATGGAGATCACACTGACTCTTACAACACTCTTAGTAACATGGGAAATTCAGCAATATTTGTTTTGTAGATCCATGGCAAGGGAGGTGTTTCCACTTTCTAATGTCTTCTTCAATTTCTTCAGTGTTTTGTAATTTTTATTATAGTGGTCTTTCACCTTTTTGGTTAAATTGATTCCTGGGTATTTTTAAGCTATTATGAATGGAATTGTTTTTGACTGATTTCTTTCTTAGTAGGTTCATACTAGAGCATAGGAAAGGTATTGATTTTTGTGTGTTGAATTTTTTTATTCTAAACCTGTAACTTTCGATGAGGGGTTTTGACATTTTAAGTACCAAAGGAATAAAGGGCTCCCACTTGACCTATTTTTAAACCTGATGACATAACCAAAGGACTAGCTTATTTGTAGCTATCAAAACAGAGAAATTGTATGATAGTGTATGCTAATAAGGTTATGACAAATAATCTTCTCAAATACTGCAAAAGAAAGTTTAATTTGGGACAAAGATTTTAAAAATTTAGCTCTACAAATCAAAGTCCTAAGAACAGTTTACAGCCTTTAACCAAATAAATCCCTTTGAGTCCATACCAAGGTAATAAGCAAATAAGGACAAAGATTCTAACACAAGGCTTTCATTGTACCTTTAGTAATGATAGTAAAAAATTTCAGAATAACCCAAGTACCTATCAGTAGTGGAGTGGGTAAATAAATTTAAGATGTTTATCTAAATAATTATAATAACATAAAAAATAATCAATATAAAACTAAGTGTGGCTTAACCCACAAGACTGCATACTTAGGATGAGCCTACTTGTTTAATTTATATTTTTAGAAAAATACTAGATGATTATTTCTACATTCTGTTTTATTTAAATTTCTACAACTAAAAAAAAAAACTATATCTTTAAACCATACCTTTTCGGTAGGGGCACTACAGCCCTAATGGGGCAAAACTATGTTCTGGTGGGGGCCAAGAAGAACCTTAGATATTATATGGTTTGTAGCTGTCCCTAGGGTCAAAACTACCGGAACAGATAGATGCACAGTATATACTACTATTTCAGGGAACTGGATGGCTCACTTAGCAAAAATATATCTGCACAGTCACCCTTTCATGAATCTTTGGGAGAAAAAGTTAAGACAAAAAGGACAAGAGAAATACCAGAAATAAAATGGAGTTTAAAACAGTAGCAGTTGTGGTCATATTTAGGTTGTGACATTAGAGAAACTTTTTGTTTCTTCTTACATTATCTAAAATTTATACAATGAAAATGTATATATTCCTAATGAGCAAAACATCAGTTTAGATTTCATTTAAATTAAATAACTGAAATAAGTAAGTTCAACAATTTACAGAAAGCTTACTGAATGTAATGAGAAAAATCAATGGACTGTGTAATGTCTCTTCTCCTTATTGTAGGGATATTACTTTCACACTGAAAACCCCTTCAAGGACTGGCCCGGAGCATTTGAAGAAGGCTTAAAAAGGCTGAAGGAAGGGGACCTGCCAGTCACCATCCTGTTCATGGAGGCAGCAATCCTGCAGGACCCGGGAGATGCAGAGGTACCATGTCCCCTTCATTTCAACAGACTCGGAACACGGCTGCACATGCTACAGAGGGACAGGAAGGCACAGGGCTCTGCTGGGGGAATTTTCATCGTGTAAAGGTTTGCAGAGGTTTAACGTGACATTTGATTGAAAGTAACAAATAATTACCTATTTTCTAACCGGGTGTCTGATCTGTAGTATCCATAGCACCCAAAGGTATAGGCTGGGGATAGGAAATGAAAAAATTGAAGCTGCTAACCTAAAACTCAGAGCAATTTCCAGGGAATAGTGTGTAGTTTTGCCGGGATCTCAGGCCACATCACACAGTGCCTTTGATTTACTCACTTAACATTTATTGAGCACATACTGCGTCCCCCAAATTGTACCAGGTCCTGCCTTAAGACCCGGAAAAGCTGGAAAAACATAACAGTTGAAAAGACACCTTTATGATCTATTTAGGGAGATGAGGAACTAAAGCAATGTAGTACAATAAATGCCATGTCAGAGGATTCATGGACAGGATGCTAGGAGAGCAGAGGACAGGGACACTCACTTAGCCTCTCTGTATATGCGTATCCAGGGCTGAGTTTTGATGGAGAAAGAATTGGAAAGAATAGGGAAGTGGAGTTGCTTTTGTGAGGCAATGGTGTGGAGTAGACAGAAGCCCTTGAAACATTGTGTAGGAGTCAAAGAGGGGGGAAAAATGATAGAGGGGAGGCAAAAGGAGGCAGACAAGAGTTGACCTACATCAGAAAATCATAGGAAACCACTAGAGAACTCTGGCATGTTCTTTCTCACCGTGTGTGTGTGTGTGTGTGTGTGTGTGTGTGTGTGTGTGTGTGTGTTGAAAAGACAACATAGAACAGTGGTTAATCTTCTAGGCCCTGCTATCCTAATGGTACAGTTCCTAACTATACTTGCCCTGCTATCCCTGCCCTGGGACAACTCACTGAAGCTCTTTAAATTTCAGTTCCCTCTTCTACATAATGGAGGTCATAACAGTAACTTTATCAGTGCCTGTTGGCAGATTAATTTATTCCTACAAATGAGGTGCCCAGATCAGCACCTGGCATGTCAATGGTGAATCTTCATTTCTTACTGAATGTACTTAGTTTGTATACAAAGAATCTAAGCTAATCACCAGGGAAAGCTCCCAATGTCTTTTGGGGGCAAAAGGTTCTCAGTGAAGTGAGACTGAACTGCCAACTGTAATTCTGAGTCAAAATATTGTAATTTTTTAAAGACACATTAAACAATGTCATCTTGCTTTTTATAAATTGTATATATATTTTACGAGATATTTTGTATATCTCACATCATTCAACACAAAAACCCTGGAAAGATAAAAAGAAAAGGATATGTCATTTTCTGAGATTTGTAAATGAGAAAATTAAGGTCTTTGGTAGCTAAACAGACCCCAGGCAAGGATTTATGCAGACTGCAAGGTTAGAAGATAATGATGTTGTAGACAATGAAAACGGCACCATGGCCAAAGGCTCGAAAAAAGTCCTTGGGAAAAGACAGTTTGATCAATCTCTTCTTAAGAAGTATTCTAAGATTCCTGGAAGGGGAAATCACCAATAATCTGGCGTAGAAATAATCAGGGTTTTATATGGTACATTTTTATCTTGAAGCTTCTTAATGTAAACTTTAGGGTATTTAACTACACTGCTGGGTAATTCTCCACCCATTCTCCTCACAATTGTATAACTACATATTCATCTTTTGGTTTTAAGATACCTAATAACATAAAATCTCATAAATTCAGAGGTTGCCTAGCTCTAAGTTATGGGAAAGGATAAAAATACCGAATGAGTTTGGAAATACAGACAGAACCATGACCCAGCTATCACAAGACACTTTGAACAAATGTTTGTGATATTTTTCCCTTTTATGTAGCTGTGGGCAAATTACATCTGATTGAGGTTGAGCTGCATAAGAAATCTGTCATGAGTAAACCAACAAAAGCACACAAGTAATTAGTTGATTTTTTTGCAGGCATGGCAGTTTCTTGGGATAACCCAGGCGGAGAATGAAAACGAACAAGCAGCCCTTGTCGCCCTCCAGAGGTAGATGGAGCTAAGTGCAAAATAGTGGGCCTGAGAAGACCCGTCAGTGGCTTTCCTCAGTTTCAGATTTGTTTTTTGATCCTTACTGAAGTACAGGGTAAAGAATTTGGCCAGGATAAGTATCAGGTTGCCACATACCACTCGCATTTAGCTCTTTAAAATAAGAACTTATGATAAAGTCACATTCCTAAGTCACAATGTTTTGCTTTCTAGGGAGATTAGAGGTACTGAGGTACTACAGTACCTATTCTGAGGTACTGAGGTATAGGTACTGTTTTAAGTCTTATCCAGGGGTTACTGGCACTGTCATCGCCTAGCAGCCTGTCAGACCTGCACACTCCTGAGCCCCACCCCAGGGCTCACCGTGCCCATGTCACTAGATCCCCACATGATTCGTGTGCTCCTTGATAGGGTGAGGGAAGCAGGGACGGCCTGGGTTTCCAGTGAGCCCACATTAGTAGTATGGAAACACAGGAATTTTACCTCTTCCTTTACAAAACACTGGACAATCTTTCATCCCTGGATGCACAAATTTAGTTCAAATCCAACTGGGAGTAGGAGGGTAAGGTTATAAAGCGTCATTAAGTTAGGATATCCCTTACTTCCCATTAGATGATTAATATTTTATATGCTAATACTTCCCATCATTGTAAACACATTTATTAAAATTATCAAAACTGGCAGTCACCAGGATAAGTTGTAACTTTCATAAAAATACTCTTCAGTCCCAGTTTTCATATGAAAAAATATGTTTTTCAGAAACTTGAAAGAAACAAAGTTAACAATGCTTTTGTGACATTTAATCAATAAAGGCTTCAATTTTCTAAAATACTGTTAGGTGCTTGATCAAAATTATCTGAAATTATTTGTTTTGCCTTCTTTCAGGTGCTTAGAATTGCAGCCCAACAACTTGAAAGCTTTGATGGCTTTGGCTGTGAGTTATACAAACACCGGGCATCAGCAGGATGCCTGTGAGGCTCTGAAGAATTGGATTAAGCAAAACCCAAAGTACAAATACCTTGTGAAGAGCAAGAAGGGATCTCCGGGCCTCACTCGACGGATGTCTAAGTCCCCAGTGGACAGGTATTCTTCCTCCTAAATCACGGCTGGCAGTAAACGCCACCAGTCACCTTGAGGATAATTAATCAGATCTTTACCACACTTTACTCCAGAATGGCTTTTAGGGCATCATTATGCTTGAAGAGCAGCACTGATTAGGAAGACTGGTGCTGAGATCAGGACTGTCAGTTTTCCATCACTGAGACAAAGTACCGTACCAGAGCTACTTACCTTGTAAGGGGGGTTAGATATTTTAGTCTATGGTCACCTGGCCCTGATGCTCTGGGCCCAAGGCGAAGTAGCACATTGGAGTAGGAGCACGTGGCCAGGGAAGCTCCTCTCCTCGTAAAAACCAGGAGGCAAAAAGAGAGAAGAAAGGACGAGGGTCCCAATATCCTCTTCAAGGACCTGTCCCCCAGTACCTGGGACTTGTCTTCCCACCAGGACCCACCTTCCAAAGGTTCCCCCAGTTCCCAGCAGTACCAGAGGTCAATGACCAGGTCTTTAACACATGGACTTTTGGAGACACTTATCCAAACTAAAGCAGTCGTTATTTGGGCACAGGTTCTACATTACGTGCATTCAGAGACACTTACCCGAGTATCATGCTTTAAAGCCAAATATGTCAGACATCTCGCCTAAAGTACAATAAGTACCACGTTTTATAAAGCTTGAGAATTAGAAATGGGCACATAAAAATCTTTTCTTCTAGGAATTTTGGCTTTGTGTTTTGTTTTGTTTGTTTTGGTGGTACTGGTCCTTGAATGCAGGACCTTGTGCTTGCTAGGCAAGCACTCTAACACTGAGCTACAGCCCAGCCCTTTTAGGAAGGGTAGCGGGAACAAGGTCTGGTTAAGTTGTCCAGACTGCCTGCAAACTTGCTTCTGCCTCGGCCTTCTGAGTAGCTGAATTACAAGCATGTGCCACCATACCTAGCAGGAATTTTATTTTTTAACAGTGGCAAATCCTGATTTAAATTCCTACTCCCTAAGACCCTTGGAAAATTAGTTGTAAGGTTTCCCTCATTTGCACTCACAGGGTAAGCAGAACTCTGAAGACCTTACTTAGTACAAGCTATATCTGCATACAATAACATATTTTGTAAAAATCAGCTATATTTTTAACATTTAGTATTAACAGTCCCCTCGTTAGACCAAGATATTTTGGGCAAAATTGTCCAGTTGGTAATGAAGGAAGACTTGAAATATAGTTCAAAGGGCTTTAGTTGTTAATCATTTATGCCCAGACTATTTGGTTTATGAATCTTTTTTCTTTTGTAGCTCTGTTCTAGAAGGAGTGAAAGAATTGTATCTGGAAGCTGCCCACCAAAACGGAGACATGATTGACCCAGACCTACAGACAGGTCTGGGGGTACTATTCCACCTGAGTGGGGAATTTAACAGAGCGATAGATGCGTTTAACGCTGCCTTAACTGTTCGGCCGGAGGTAAGAACGCTCAGCCCAGCAGGAGACCATAAATTTCTCTGTAGTTTTCACAGGCGACGCTCTATTCATGTCTTCTAGGATTTACTGCCCGCCCACTACCTGTATGTAGTGTTTAAGGTGATCAGTACTAATGATATGCTGCAGTGGCTATTATACTGAAATACCTAAAGTAGAAACATTAGCACATAACCATATCAAATGGTAACTGCTTTTTGATCAAAAACACTGTCCTGAAGATGTTTAAGTAATTCACCTCCGCGTGGTCTCTGTCCATGAGCACACTTTTATCCACCTTCCCTCTTCTGTAGAGAAGTATGGGAATACTGGGTCACTGTGGTTTGTTCTGGTTGTTAGAATGCTCTGGTTTTTATCATTAGGACTATTCATTATGGAACCGTCTTGGGGCGACCTTGGCAAACGGCGACCGCAGTGAAGAAGCCGTGGAGGCGTACACACGGGCACTGGAGATCCAGCCAGGTTTCATCCGTTCCCGATACAACCTAGGAATTAGCTGTATCAACCTGGGCGCCTACAGGTAAAGCATCAACAGGCAGACCGGAAGACACACTCTGGACTGAGGCTCAATAGCCTGAGACAGTGTTTCAAATAACTCCATCTCATTTTATAACCCTGTTCCTCTTCTTGCCACTAAGGGTGAAGTGGAACATTCAGGCCCTGCAGCCTGTTCAAGTAAGAACTGTGTGCTTCCCTCAGTCTTGGTCTGTAGAAAGCTGCGTGAATCTTAACCTTTTCAAAACTGAGGACCCTTTTTAATGGTCGAAGAAACTCTCCTCTTTGGCAGTAATGCTTTTAGTATGCATATAATGAGGGAAAGCTACTGAAAGTAAATAATACATTTAAATAAATGAGTTTTTTATTAAACATGACAATGTACACATATTATTTGCAATTATCTGTACATATATGTGTGAAACACTTGAAAAATAATCGTACAAACACGTATAATATTCTGAGTCCACACAGGGTCTCTGGGCTCACAAGTTGAAGAGCAGGTCTACACAACCTTCATGCAAAAACCTAGAGTGGCTTGATAATAAATTAGACTCTTCTGTTACTCTCCCAACCCCTCTGAAACCACTTGAGGCTTCAAGCAGCTGCTGAATGAGAGGATTCCAAGACTTACCTTTCGCAGGGTTCTTACCAGCCTAGGATTAGGAGTAAAATCTGGGAGACATTTTCATGGGAGCTGTACCCTTGTGAGAAGGGCCAGAAAGTATCTCTAAGCCACTTCCTGTGCCTTCCTTTGCCCATCGGTTTCTAAGGCCTCCTCTCCCGGAAGAGGGATGATCAGGCCGCCCACTCCATTTCTCACCCAGGCTGCCATATGCAGCATCCCCTTCTCCCAACTGCCTCTTATTTGCAGGCAGATCGAACAAAATAGATAAGCACATGCCAGGTCATATGCATCAGAATTAGAAAACCATTCCCTCACCTTCATTTTTCTTACCACATGCTTAGCAACTACCTTCCAGGTAAGTGAGCTCAGGTGTGGACAGGTTTTTGAGAAGAATAAAGCAGATATAAATCAAAGTGACATGAGTATTCCCAGCAAGAGTCAATTTGTCAGATACATTACAAGGTCAGAGTGACACCGGGCTGCTGAAGAGGGCAGACCCAGCAGAAAGCGCTGGCAACAGACACAGGCCTAGACTGCAAGGCCTTCAGAGAGCAGCTGACCCAGCTGTTCTCAAGCCTGATGCTCTCACGGTTGGCGATTACTGAGAACCCCAGAGGGGTTTGTGTATGTGGGTTTTATCTATCAATATTTGCCACTTTAAAAATTAAATTCAGAAACACTTTAAAAGATTAATTAAAAAATAATAAAACTTATTACATGTTAACGTAAATATCATTTCGCAAGAAAATAATTACTTCCCCAAACCAAACTATGCCTAGAGAGAAGAATGACATTGTTTTACATTTTTGCAAATTTCTTTTATACCTTGCTTATTAGATGACAGATTTTCATATCAGCTTCTACATTTCAATCTGCCAAGATATTTCACATCATGTAATCTCCGGAAAAATCCCTCTATGAACATGAGAAAATGGAAGTCAAAGGTCAAATAACATCTCAGTTTTATCGTAAAGGTGGTTTTGACTGCATTGATCGCCAGGGTTCCCTGAGACCACACTTTGAGAACTATTGATCTTAATGATAAGAGCTTTCACAAAAACTGATTCAAGTGCACCTCACAACAGTTTTCAAGTGATTTCTGTTATCCCTATGACACACTCAGGGAAACTGACCCTTGAAGAAGATAGGAAATTTGCCTACGGCTTGGGACACAAGCACAGATACTCTGATAATAAATTCAACTCCTTCCTATCTAAATTCTACATCACTGTCACTAATGGGAAAAATTAAACAGCTACATTTCTGAATAGGGCCATATTTTTCCTCTTAAAGTCTCATTATGGAAAGCATACTTGCATCAAATCATTCCTAGAATATGGGGAAATCAAATGCATTTATGGGTTAACAGTGGTTATACTATTCTGCCTCTCCCACGTGGCATTCAAAAAATATAATTTTCTTCTTGTCTCTCTGATTTCACTACATTTAATAATAATTGTTGATAAAAAGAATAATTAGAGAATCAGAAAGTTGTTTATCTGACCATCTAAAATGTCATGGAGAAGTGATACTCTGTACTTTAAGTTTGCTAGCTCTAAAATTTGTGGCACCTTAAAATGTCTGTTTTTCTCCCCTATTAGAGAAGCAGTCAGCAATTTTCTCACTGCCCTCAGTTTGCAAAGAAAGAGCAGGAATCAACAGCAAGTTCCTCATCCTGCAATCTCTGGGAATATCTGGGCTGCCCTCAGAATTGCACTGTCCCTGATGGACCAACCGGAACTCTTCCAGGCAGCTAATCTTGGTGACCTGGATGTCCTCCTAAGAGCTTTCAACTTGGATCCTTGAAGGAAAAGAAAAAATAAAGAATAATAACCCCCCCCTTCTGTGTTATTGTACTGAGAAGTGCAAAACTACTTTATTATGAATTTCAGAAAGGATAAATCAGATATTCAAAAGGCCATGGCCACATAACCCAAGAGGATTAATTTCTACAAAAAATGGCCGGTCTCTGTTCAGATCCAAAAGCACAAGTAGAGTCAAGGTCAGGTTCAAAAGAATTGGGAGACGCAAGAGAAAGTAATTTCATGTACTCTTCCTAAGTTGCCAGTGTATTGCTTTTTGTTCCCAGTTGCAGCTAACAGCACATATGAGGAACTCGTTTATAGGACACATGAGGAAAGCACTGCTTCTGGTCAGGAAATTCTGACTGCATCTATACTGTGTCTCCTGAAATTTTCCCTTTTGCAAGACTGAGCATAGTTTGGGCCATCGGTGCATGTACATATATTAACTAAAGACAGGCAACGCTTCACCTGCTCCTGTTTTAACTTTTGCTGTAGCCCTTTGTTTGCAGAGAGGGAGCTTTGCTGGCAAAAGCAGTTTTTGCACTAGAAATTTTTGCTGTTCCCAAGCAAAACTTTTCTGGGATTGTATATATGCACTTTAACATCTTATTTATGCCTTGCTGGGGTTTGGTTTTGTTGCTCCAATTTTTAACTCGGGGTAAAAGATTTGAGAACTCAGACTTGTTAGATCAATGGACCAAATTTTTTAAAAATTCCTGAAAATAGCTTTTCATAGTGTAGGGTTTTTGAAGGAGTGTTTTTCATAAAGCAGACATGCTTTGCGGGACTGTATGAATATAAGAAACAAAATACTGTCTGTTCATGCATTCCCTGCAGGGAGAAAGCTTGATACTGTGCTTTCTATTGAGTTTGCTTAAGTGTCATATTTTACTGGCTTTCTGATTTCCCTGCACAATAATATTCCTTTTAAATTGTTATTACTTAAATGTGATTTCTTAAGAGTGATAAATAGTTTTTCCTAAAAAATGATGTATTTCCTTAGTTCCATAATAGTCTGCAGTTAACTTTGTGAGTGACAGAAGATCAACATTTTTTAACTGAAACTCACCAAGTGTCAGTGGGTTAGCATGAAAGTTGCATATCCCTTTGGCTCCTAAACATTTAGCAAGTAACAGGAATTTTCTATTGGCAATGGTATTTTATTTAACTTTCCACTTAGTTCTTCAGTATTTTGTGTATATTTGTGGCTTGGTGATTATTTTGAAAGTATATTTTTCAAAGAATGAGGAGAACATTGTTTCCCAAAGTCTAACCAAAATATCGTTTTATCCAGGTCTGGTTCTAGTCAGTTGTCCTATTCTTCACTTTGCCTCCTTCCTTCTGGAGTACTTTCCCCCAAAGTAGTCTGGTCCCAATTTTTCATTCATGTTCTTTGGTTAGTAATAACTCATTCTACTCATGACTATAGTTACCAAAAAAGACAGAATTTGAATCAAAACAGTTTGATTGACTGGAGAATTTGCTTCCACTGAGCAGGGAAATGTGCACACAGCTGAGAAACTGGACTCCAGGTGCAGGTACAAATCCTCTCCTCTGTGACCTTGGATTTCATGAGTTGTGAGGGGTTCTCAAGTTAACACGGAACCACAGGTTGGAAGCTTAGGTACATCACAACCTATTCTAGTTTGGGAAGATGAAGAGGTGAGGACCTTGCGGTGAGCACCAGGTTTTGATAGTCACTATCAATGCTCCTGTTGGCAGGATGATGGCTCCAGCCAGGCAGCAAGAGAAAGAGGCTTTAAGGCATTCATCTTTGGCAGGAATGACAACCCCTCTTGGCCCTCATTTCCCTGCAGTCTGAGCAGCAATGTGAAGATCAGCAGTAATTCCAAGAATGACATTCGTTAGAATTTTAGAAATTAGAAACTCCATCTGGGAAGGCATTGGGGCACCTGCCTTCTGGAATATTCCTAATAGGCCCACATCCATTCCCTGCCTGCTGGTGATCTCTGCACACTCGGTGACTGGCTAGTTAACTTGGCTCCATCAGAATCCATCAGGAGCCTCTGAACAAAGGATTCAAAGCCAACTTTGCAGGCATTTTGTGCATGATGCCTTTCTGTACTCTCAGGTCCGAATGAATTTGCAATGATAATGAGTTACTGTGTTCTCACCTCGCTAGCGCTATATGCAGGAAATCAGTTCAGAATTTATAATTTCAAACTAGTGTAAATGTGGGGTAGCTTGGTTTAATTTGATTGTTGTTAAGGAGCAGCAGTTTTTGTGGTCCACATTTTATTTCGATATTGGAATTCAAAGTAATCTCAAAGTCCACAGAGTTGCTTTAGGGGAGAACTGACAATTTGCCACTCTCACTTTACTTGGCAATTTACAGACTGTTTAGTGGGACTATCTGCAATATATCCACTGTGATCCATCAGAACTAAGATTTTTAAGTCACGTGTGGTGGCACACGCCTATAATCTGAGCTACTCTGAGGCAGAAGGATCAAGTTTGAGGTGAGCCTTAATAATTTAGTGAGACTGCCTCAAAATTTAAAAAAAAAAAAATTTTAAAGAACTGAAAAGTAACTCAGTGGTAGAATGCTTCTTAGCAATTGGAAGGACCTGGATTCATGCTCCAGTACCAAACAAAGTTGTGGTAATAGCTAAGTTTCTTTAGGTTATTATCTGGCAGGAAGTCCAAAATTGCTGTCTAAGGAGAGCTGCAATTTTCTAAGTGAAAATCATTAGTAAAAGTTGAGCAAAAGTTATAAATACAGAGCAACACCAAAACTTACGTGGCAAAATTTTAGACTATACTTTATAGCATATACTTTTTTAATGTATTCACTTTTGAGACAGAAGTGAATTTGAAATCTTCATGGCAGAAAATTGTCATTTAAATTACTCTTCCACTTAAAAGAATAGTTGGTTCTCTCTGAGACTCTCTGGGAAGACTGAGTACTGTGCTTTTTTGTTTGTTTGTTTGTTTAGTATCAACGAGTAACGGCCTACCAACGCTTTTAGGATGGTACTCATTTTACAAGAATGACTGGTCAGTCACACACAGATGACCTTTAGTGACTGAGTTTGCCAGCAAATTGGATGAAAATGTACTCAAAGCTATAGATCACTGCTGAGTGTCAAACGATAATTATTTGTAGTAAGTATCCTTAGGCACTACTGTATCTCAACAGTGAGAGGAGACAGATGGGGAAGAGGAGGAAGAGCAAAGGGTCCTCTCACTGGTCCCGTCTCGGTGAGTCTGCATTTTCTCCCCTTCTCCCATGTTCGTTACACATGATTCCTTAAAGAAAGGTAGATCTTATCTACCAGAAAAGTTTAGTAAGAGAACTATGAGGTGTGTTTTCTTAGCAAATCTGCATTTCTATCAGAGCGGTAAATTAATGATACAGAATAGCATGTGAGTGATGGCTAGGAATGTCCAGGACGTGCACACTTTTAGTTTAATGACACTTTCTTTTATATTAAGACACTTCTGATGTTGAATCGTGGGCCTATGTCTAAATTCTTGCTCTTTTCTTTTTTTTTTTTTTTTTTTT